CCAACGCCGCTGCTTTCGGCTTCTTCAGCCAGCGGAGTGTTTGCAGGTGCCCACACAAAGGCTGTGTGGCCTGCAGTTCACCCCCAAATCACTTCCATCTGCCGCTGGAGACAGTTTGAACAGGCGCTCGTGGTCTGACTCGTCTTGCTGTGATGTCACGCGGGCGCAGGGGAGGCCGAGCCAGGAGCACGCGCACCTAAGCCCGAGCAGCCCCCAGAATCCGACTGCAGAAGCGAGGGGGCCGGGGGGCGATGGACTGAGGTGGAAGACGGGGCTTCGGAGGCGGGCGTGGGGGGGCAACAGTCACCAGGACCCCGAGTCGCAGGCGGCGCTATAAAGCAGGATTCTGTCACACTGAAAACTACAGATTCGCTTAGGTCTTAATCTCTCGCGAAATGAAACACACGGGGAAGGCACGGCGTGTTTCGAGGCCATCCCGGTTTGGTGGCCTTAGTGATGCTGCCCTCTGGGGCGACCGCCTTGAAGGAGGGGTGGCGATGAGCTTGGGGGGCTCAGTGTGTTTGTTTAAGGAGACACCGTCGGCCGTTCAGAGCCGCGCCGCTCACCCGCCCTGCACGCTGCCTGCCGGCGGCGTCCCCCCGGGGTCTGCTGGGCGTCACACAGGACGGCGAGGCTGGCCCCCCACGCAGGACGCCGTCCGGCTCCATGCCATCCCTGCTCGTCTTTCTTGGAAACCCACGCGGGAGCCAGAGGAGGCGACTGGGTTTCAGCCCGGTGCAAAGTCCAGGCAGGCCGGGCTGCCCTTTGAAACGTGACCCGCAGCTCGCTGAAGCCGCCCGTCGCCCAGGAACAGGATGAGTGGAGTGCCCCGGGCCTCTAAGCCAGCGCCCCGGCCACGCTGGAGAGCCTCGCTGCCGGAGGGCCGGTGCCCAGGCGAGCCCCTGGGATGCAGGGCCAGCAGAAGGGGCCCCAGCCTGTGCAGGACCGCCCTATTCGGGAAGTCTGCCGTTTCCGTTACAACAGGCGTGCAGGAGTACCCGTGCCTGGGGAAAGGTGGGGCTGGCGTGGGTCACGGGTGAGGAGGGAGATTCGCGACTTAGGTTGTTCCGTGAGCTGTGGTCTCCTTGCGAGGGGCGCCCGGCACCTAGTGGTTGGACAAGTCACACGCGCCCACACCCCCCCGCGAGAGGCTGCGTGAGCGTGCCAGGAGGACTGGGAGGGACAGGTGTGACCAGGAGCCGGGTGCCACCCCGCGGAGGGGCACCAGGCCCGGGAGTGCGGGGGTCTCCCGCCGCGCCATCCTCTCAGCTCTGGGCGGGTGTGAGGCTTCCCTAGTTAGATGGGAACAAAACACACCCCGCCAGGAGCAGAACTACTCGAGAGCGAGGAGCAAGGCCGAGGACCCCACCATCGCGGTGTGGGGAGCAGAGTGGGGCTAAGGGCTCAAGGAGCAGAGCCCAGGAGCCACGCGAGCGGCCTCGGGGGCCAAGTGTCCTCTCTTGGCCCGCGCCCCAGCTGTGAGACGGGGACTCTGGGCTGCTGGGCCGGTGGCGGGTGGTCGTGACGGCTGCTGTCCGGTCCCGAGAGGGACGCGGCAGCCCTGCTTCCAACAGCAGCTGTGGGTCCCGGGGTGCAGCAGGCTGCCAGGGAGCTAAGACCACGCTCGGCCCGGGACTCTGCATTTTAAACCCGAGCCTGACATATCCCACTGGGAAAACCCCACTGAGTGGAGTGCAAGGCCTGAGGTCAAGCATAGCCCTGGGCAGGGCCCGGGGGCTCGGATTGTCCAGGTAGCCGGCAGGAGTCCAGGGAGAAGATGGGCGAGGCGTGTCCAGCTGGCAGGCGTCCCGAGGGAACGGCCATTACCTTCATGGGCTCTCCTGGGGGCCGGGGCTGGGGGCAGACTCTGGCTCTAACACGAACGAGCGGCACAGCCGGGGCCCAGGGCGACCGTGGGCCTCTGTAATGGGGGAGGGACGGCGCCTCCGGGCCTGTGGCCGCCACACCAGGCTCGCGGGCTCAGGCCCTAAGCCAGGGACCCTTCCTGGAGACCTCCCGGGAGCGGCCTGGTCCCTTACCCGTCAGGGGCAGGGACGCGGGGCCTAGCGCAGAGGGAAAATGAAATTGGGTGTATGCACCCAACTGGAGACCGCGCTGCACCCCAGGAAGACACGTGCCCCGTGTCCGCGCTCCAGCCTGCCTGTCCCAGGGGCCTCCTGCCATTGGTCTCCATCTTAAATCTCTGCTCTCATTTCCCCAGTTACAACCGGGCTCCTCCTGACCAGGGCCGGGGTGACCTCCGTCTCAGGCGGGCCCTGCCTCCTGTGGTCACCGGGACCACCAGCGTGACTGCCTCAGGCCCCCAACGTCACCTGGGGAGAGCGGATCTCCAGATTGCACTGCCACCCGTCTGGGGGGTTTGTGGAGAGCTTCAAGTCTCTCTCAAAAGCCACACGAGAATGACTGGTGCCCCTCCAGTGCCCTGGCCAGGACAGCCACCATTCCACCCGGCCTTAGACCCTGGCCGTCGGGGCCGGGGCCGAGGCCGACTACACTGCGGAGGGCACAGCCTGTCCTCTGAGACAGGCCCCCGAGGGCGGGGCCCTCTGCTGCGCCAGCCCTGGGCCCCCAGCGTGGCCCGTGGCAATCAGGGGGTGAACTTGCTGGTGTGGGGGATCCCGCCTGTCCCGACACCGGCCCACCTCCCTTTTACCAGCAGCCCCACCTCACCCCCCCGTGCCCCCACCTCCCCAGCCTGCAGCGGGTGGGGCAGCAGTGGTCAGAGCAGACACCGAGTTCTGTGGGAAGCCAGGGTGGCCTTTGTAGAGAACCGGAGAGTGAGGAGCTCCGCACAGCGACTGGCTGCCGTTTCCAGAGGGACCCTGCCCGGAGGCCACGGCTTAGGGCTCGGGGCAGCCCACCCTATATGCTTTAGACTTGAGGAGTGCAGGCCCTCAGTCCCTTAAAGTTGGGGGGCTGAGTTTCCCCCTTCTTCGGGGTCCCCAAGCCCTCGGTGGGGCTGGTCCGGCAGACGGGGGATTTAGCGTCTGCGGGCTGAATCCCTTGAGGTAGGTGAGCGGAGGCCCTGGCGTGGGGGGCGTGGCAGCTCTAGCAGCGACCCCGGTTGTGTGACAGCTTGACAGACACGTGTCCTCCCTCGGGACCCGGAGGTCGGAAGTCCGAGTCTGGACCCCAGGACTGGGCACTCTCTGGGGGCTTTGGGGGAGAGCCTGCTTGTGTCTCTGGGCTTTGGGGGCTCCAGGGGTCCATTTCCTCTACCCCTGCTTCTTCCTGCCCGGCTCTTGTGAGGCCACTCTTGCCGGGCGCCCCATCTGCGCCCGCCGTGTCCTCAGCCCCGTCCGCAAGGGCCCTGTTCCCACACGGTGACGCGCCGGGGCGCTGGGGACAGGAGCTTCTGGGGTCTGCTGGGCAGCCGCGGCCCGGCACTGGGCGAGGCGGCAGGGGGGCGGCGGGGCCGGGGGACTCGGCGGGGCCGGGGCGCGGGTGCCCAGCCCGCCGCGGCTGGAAGGGCTGGGGCGCCGGCTCCGGGGCCGGGGCGCGGCGCGGGTGCGGGGCTTCGCGGCCAGCCCCGGAGGGGCGCCCGGCGGCAGACAAAGGGCCGGGCCGGGGGTGCCGTCGCCGCTCCCCGCAGGCGCGTGGGTGGCCGGGGAGCGGGAGGCAGCGGAGCCCGGGCGCCATGACCACGGGCGCTGCTGCTGCGGCCCAGCCGCACCCCGCGGCCCTGACCATCCGGCCAACCCCGGCCGAGGCCGCCGGGCTGGGGGGCGGGGTCGGGGGCTCGGGGGGCGCCGCTCCCCCCCAGGCCCGCAGCGTCAGCCCGGCCGGGGCGCCCCGCGGGACCTCGTGGCCGGGGCCTCGCAGCGCGCGCCGGGGTCACTCCGGGCTGCGCCCCGGCCGGGGTCCCCGCGCCGGCCCCCCGCCGCGCCGGGGCGGGCTCAGGCCGGGCCGGGGCGGGGGGCCCCGGGCCCGGGGGCCCCGGGCCCGGGGGGGGGGTCAGCGCCCCGCGCGGCGGCGGCGCCCGGCCCAGAGAGGCGCCGCGGCGGCCCAAGGTCACACAGCGGCCGGGCCCCGAGCCGCGCCCCGGCCCCCGCGGCCGCCGCCGCCGCCCATTGTGACGCCCGGGCCCGCGGGGCGGCCGCCCGGCCCCCGCCCGCCCCGGCCGCCGCCGCGCCGGTCTGCGGGAACAAAAGCCGCCGGATCCGGCCCGGGTTTTCCGCCTCGCCGGCCCGCGGGTCCCGCGCCTCCCCCGGCCCGCGCCCCCCCCGGCCGGAGGGGGCGGGCCCCGCGTGATCGACAGCCCCGGGGGCGAACCGCCGCGGGCGCCCGGCGCCGGCCCGGCCGCGGAGCGCGCGCGCGGGCCAATCGGCGGGGGGGGCGGGCCCGACCGGCGCGGCTGTCGCGAGAGGCGCCCACCCCGCCCACTTGCGCCTCGTCCCGGCGCCCGGCGGCAGCGACGCGCCCGCTCGGCGGATCCGTCCGCGCGCGACAGGCCGCGGATCCCTCCGCGCCGCGTGTCCCTCCGCGCCGCCGCCGCCGCTCCGCGCCTCGGTAACGGCCGCCCGGCCCGCGCGGCGCCGCGGCGCGGCATGGCCGGGGCGGCTCCGTCGGGGGGCGGCCCGCAGTGACAGACCCTGCGGCGCGCGGGGCGATGGGGGCGGCCGCCTCCCGGGCGACGACGACGACGACGACGAGGAGCGGCCGCCGCCGCCGCCGCGCACCGGCCGCCGCCGGGGACGGGCGCGGGCCAGGAGCCGGCCCGTGAGCGGGGGGCCCGCGGCCGCTCGCCGCCCCCGGCCGCCCCGGCCGCCCCGGGCCCCCCCGGCGCCCCGCGCGCGCGCGCCCGCCGGCCCCTGGCGGGGGTCCCGCCCGCGCCGCGCGCCCCCGGCCCGGCCCGCGCGCCCGCGCCCGCCCCGCGCGCGCCCGGCGCGCCCCCCGCCCGCGCGCGCGCGCGCGCCCGCCCGCGCCCCCGGCCCCGGCCGGCCCCCGGGCCCCGCGGCCGGCGCGGCGCGGGCGGCAGCATGGTGGAGAAGCGCGGCGCGCTGCAGCGGGACGGCGTGTACCGCTGGTTCTCCGAGCTGCCCTCGCCGCAGCGCGTGGAGTTCCTGTGCGGCCTGCTGGACCTGTGCATCCCGCTCGAGCTGCGCTTCCTCGGCTCGTGCCTCGAGGACCTGGCGCGCAAGGACTACCACTCGCTGCGCGACTCGGAGATCAAGGCCAACAACCCCGCCGACCTGGGCAGCCTCACCAACCTGACGGACGAGGTGGTGCGCAGCAAGCTGCTCGTGTCGCTGGCGCTGCTGGGCTCGGAGCAGCGCGAGGCGGCGGGCGTGCTGTACCGCACGCTCACGCACATCGACTCCATCATCCACAACTACGGGCTGCAGCTCAACGAGGGCCGCACGGGCGATGAGTTCCTGCTGCTCTTCACCATGGCCTCCAACCACCCGGCCTTCAGCTTCCACCAGAAGCAGGTGCTGCGCCAGGAGCTCACGCAGATCCAGAGCAGCCTGAGCGGCGGCGGGGGCCACGGCGGCAAGGGCGCGCCCGGGCCCGGCGCGCTGCCCACCTGCCCGGCCTGCCACAAGGTGCGTGCGCCCCGCTGTCGCCCCGGCCGCCTCCCCCCAGTCCCCGCCCGCGCCCCAGGCTGTCCCCCGGCCCGCGGCCGCACCCCACGCCGAGACCCCCGTCCCAGCCCAGGCTCCCCCCGCGGCCGCCCGCCCGGCTCAGGGCAGCGGCGCGGCCTGGACCTAGCGGGTACCAGGGCCCCGGGGAGGCCTTGCGTTTCCGGAGGAGGAACCCGGGTCAGAGTTCGCGGCCGCACGCTGCCTGGACATCCCCGCTGGAAAGGCCATCAGGCCTTTGTCCCCAGTGGGGCTCTCCGGGGACAGAACAGCCGCGCGCTGTGTCACTGGGGCGTCTGCAAGTATCTGGAGCGTGTTGGCAGAGAGGAAGCTCCCGGCCAGGGGCGATGGGGGGGCCCTGGGAGCTTAGGAGACCCCGCTGCGGCCCCTCTGGCCCCGTCCCACGGGGAGCTGGGGGCGGGCGCCGCGTGCGGTGGCGGCGCACACGGAGACCAGGTGCTGGTGCGCGTCTGCAGGTGACTGTCGGCGGGGCCGGGCCGGCGCGTCTGCGGGAGCGGGTCCCGAGCCCGGCCGCTTCCACATGTCAGTCTCCGGGTTAGGCAGGAAGGGCGGCGGGCGGCACCGGAGACGGGCTTCTGAGCGCTCTGTGGCTACGTAAACACGGAGGGTTTGGGGCTCCGGCTTGTTTTTACTGGCCCCAGGGGAGCCTGGCACCAGGACGGCGCTCCCGGAGCACAGGCCTCGCTGGCCGGCGGGCAGCGAGCGGGGCTCTTGGGCCCACGGGCGGGGGCCGCAGCGGGCTTCCTGGGGGCGCGGCTCCCCAGCCCTGAGGGGAAGCCTGGCGGCGGCTTGCGGTGGCGGTGGCTCTAGCCGCCTCTCCCGGCTGCGGTTTTCCCCTGATGTCTTCCTGTCAGAAGTGGTTGTGGTGCTGCCGCAGGTGGGGGGTTTGTTCGTGTGTTTTGGGGTGCCGTTCTCTGGAGCCATGGGGCTTTTGCTGTCCCGGGGTGTGTCCTGAGCAGAACGCCGGGCCTGTGTGGACGGGGGCGCAGGTCCAGCCTCGCCATGTGGGCTCTGAGCCTGGGTGCCTGCGGGTGCCCCTTGGCCGTCCCGCGGGTCAGTGTGGCGCACGTGTCCTGCTGGGAGGCGTGGGCACCGACCTCTGCGGCCTCTCCGTCCCCTGCACCGTGCAGCCCGCATCGGGTCCCCTCCTGAGAGCAGACGGGGTGGGGGGGAACCGGGGGGGCGACCCCTGGGAGTGTGCAGCGGGCACTGTGCTGAGGTGAGGTGAGGGTGGCGCCCCCACGGGCTGGGCTGGCAGGACTCCCTTCCTGCGGGCTCCGGGGCCTGGGACTGGTGCCTCAGGAGCTTCCCTCCACCTCAGGGGCCGGCCCCCGCGGCCGCCGGCTTCCCTTAGCCGTGTTTCCCCGCGCGCCCTCTTCACGGCTGCCGTGTTCGCTGAGGCGCTTTCAAATTGTTGCTGCTCTGAGGTTCCGAGGCGGAGCGGGAGAGGCTGCCCGGGGACCCGCGGGGGCGGGGGGGGCCCGGGCTTCAGCTGCTGCCTTCGCAGGCCTCTCTTCGCAGATGGAAGGCGCGGGCCGTCGGCGGGCTCAGCTGTTAGGAACGGCTTTATTGAGATTTCATCCTCAGTCGTGAAGCTCGCCCCTCGGTGCCGCGCCGCGCGGCGTCGAGTCGGTTCGCAGACCCCCTGACTTCTGCAACCGCCGCTGCTGCCAAATTTCGAGAGGTTTTCGGAGGCGCAGGAAGCCCTGTCCCGCGTCGTCCCGCCCCCGCTCACGGCCACGGGCTGCCTGCGGACGCGGCCCGCCGGGAGAGATCTCGTGGTTTCTGTGCCGCGGCAGGTGCCGTCCTCCCCGGGGCCGGCGGGTCTTCCGTCCCGGGAGCCTCCGTGTGCCAGCGGACGCCCGGCTGCCGCGGCTGCTGGTGTCCGGGCCTCTTCCCCTCAGGGCCGGCGAGCGCCCGTCCGGTCCCCAGGTCTGACTCTGAGCACGCGGCCCCGCGTGCTGGCGGCCCCTGGCTGGGGGGGGGGCCGGGGTGGCACCAGCCGCCCCCGTGGGTCGCTGGCCCAGCGGGATTGGCTCGGCCCAGGGTGCAGAGCTGCCGATGGAGCTCCACGGCTGCCCGTCGCCTGCCTCAGGCGCTGGCGGGGGTGAGAAGAGGTGCCCCCGGGGGGCTCTCTCCAGCGCTGTGCTGGAGTGGGGCTCCAGGGTGGGGGGAGGCTCTGCCATGGCTCTTTGTGTGTGCCCAGGGCAAGCAGGGGCCGGTGGGGCTCCTGACCCCGAGTAGACCCCCCAGCACCTCTCGCCCCGTAAGCTGCTGCTGGCGTGAAGGTGCCACGCTGGCGCGTCGCGGGCGGCTTGTTGCCGGTGGGTGGCAGGTGAGGCCCTGCCTGTGGAGGCCGTGGTGGGCCTGAGGGCTGGCGGGGATCCCTGCGGTGCACCTCTGCTCCTTCACCACGTGCAGGCTGCTGGGGGCGCCTGGCTGGGAGACGCCCCCCTGCCGGGCGAAGCCTTTCGGCGGTGGCGGCCACATCATGGGGATGGAGGTCTGGCTGCGCCAGGAGTCGGGCGGTGCTGCGGATGGTTCCGGCCACCTGGCCGGGCGCTGTCCTCTCCCGGGGAGAGCTGCCCTGCGCCTCTTTATACACATTCCCGAGGGTCCCCCTTTGGGGCTCTTGCCTCAAACTGACAAGGTGGGGTGGGTGGCAGTTTGTGCCCACGCGCTCGCTCAGAAGCCCCCATCAGGAGTGGAGCTGCCGCCGGGCGTGGTGACACAGACCCACTCCTTGGCACGGGCTCTGTTCTGGGTACCGGACCTGCAGTCATTTGGGGTGAGGAGTGGACAGAGCAGGTGTCTCGGGGCGCCATGAGATGAGTTCTCGGGACCGAAAGCACCACACGTGGACCGTGGTTGGGTGGCCCGGCGGGCAGTGGTCGGGTAGCCCGGTGGGCAGTGGTCAGGTGGCCCGGCGGGCAGTGGTCGGTTGGCCCGGTGGCCACCGTGGCACGGGGTCGCTCTTGTGCTCCGGGGACGCCAGTCCCTGATAGAGCAGCCGGAAGGGGCCTGGGGTGCCTGTCCCGGGCCCAGCGCTGTGCTGGCCTCTTCTGCTGCGCAGCCGGGGGTGTCCTCCCACGGGGGCACTGCCGACTGTCTCGGTGTGGGCCCAGATGTCTCCCCGGGGACGTCCGGAGTCTGCTCTTCCTGTCTTTCTGCTCGCCCCAGTTCTTGCCCCCACGGGCCCATTACTCTCTGGTTCTCCTCACTTCTCATGGTCAGCGGGAGGTGAGTTCCTTGCCTTCCCAGCCGCCCTTCCAGCTCCCCTCTGCCCTGGCCCAGCCTCCGGGAGACCGTGCTTAGGCGGGCCCTGCGCTGCCATTGTGGGCCCTGGCGCGGCCAGCGCAGGGCACTGCCCATCCTGCCCCACCCCGCGGGAGGGTGCCCGGTCTCCCCGTGGGGTGGCTGTCCACCCGTCACCCATGGCGGGCGGGCTTGCGCCTGGGGAGGCGTTGCTGCACTGACATGGGGTGTGCCTGGCACCCTGCGGCAGGTGGGCCTGTGCCCTGGAGACCGCAGGGGGCACCGCCTTCGCCACTGTCGGGTGTGGCCTCTTGGTTGCGGTGGGGGCTGCCGGCCCCGTGGTGTGTGGCCCACGTGCGTCTCCCCAGGTGTACCTCTGCGCAGGACCCACACCCGCCCTCCCCTGCTGCCCTGGCGTCGCCTGTGGCGTGATGCAGACAGAGGGCCTCCTGGCCTGGGCCCATCAGTGATTCGCCGCGTCCCCGGCCGTGTTGCACACCCTGTTCCCTCTGCCCCGCAGCCTCTGCCGTGGCACGCATGGCTGGCAGGCATGGCCTGGGCGGCCCGGGGACGGGGCGGGCTGTCCCGTGTCCTGGTGCCTCCGCTGTGCGGCGTGGACCTGCCCAGCTGTCTGCTGTCGCCCAGGGCGCCTGGCTCCTCGTGTCCACCGGCCCTTGGTCCCCGCCTGGGCGGTGGCCTTCTCGGACTGCTCCTCGACCTGCACATGCTGCGCGCCTGCTCCAGCTCCCGTTCCCGGGTCCTGGCTGGAGAGCCTGTCCTCCGTCCTCCTCGTTCCTGCCCCGCCAGCCCCACCTTCGGGGTTGCGTCCTGAGGCTGCTGCCGGCGCGGGGGAGGGCAGGCTCGGGCCGGACAGCCGCCTCCGTCCTCGCTGTCCCGCGGTCTCCGGGAGCCCTGGCCGGCTCTGCTCTCCTTTAATGCCCCCCCTCGTGGCAGTTTCTCCCCTGGCGGATGTGGCTGCGATCCCCGGCGATTGCAGCAACTGGATTCTTATTTTCAAAAGTTGGTGCGTCACAGCTCGCGCTGGCCGCCCTCCCCCAGGTGACTGCACCACGTGTGGACGCGCGCACCCGAGCTGGGGGCGCCGCGGGCTGTGGCAGCACCGCGGCTCTGTGTGTTTTCTGGCCGTGGTGGTGCAGCGTCTGCGTGACCTTCCGTACCCCCAGCTAGAGCGAAGTTCTTGTTTCTCTGGCGGTGGGGACGGGGACGTCGGGTCGTGGGAAGGGAGTGCTGTGGCATCCTTTCCTGACTACTTGGGACTTTCACGTAAAAGGCTTAATAGAGTTACTAGAAAGAACGTAGTAAGTCCTCGGGTTCCGCGTTGATTCACGGCGAATCTAATTAAAACTCGCACGTGCGGGAGCTGCTAGCGACGTCGGAGTCCAGGCCTGCAGAAGGTGCTGTCTGAAGGCGGGAGAGCATGGATGAACGCGGAAGGAGCACGCTCCCTCCCGGCTCTTGGACATTTTGAGGTCCGCGCGCGCGGGACAGAGCGGCCCTGGCGGAGGGCGGCTGCCCCGTCCTTGGGGAGTCCTGGGGGTGGGGGCTGTGGGTGCCCCCGGCCCGAGGCTGCATAATGCCCTCTGGGCAGCTCCCCCCGCCCAGGCCCCAGCCCAGGTGCTCCGAGGCTTCAGGCCAGTTTCTGTTCTAAAGGCTTGTCAGGCGCTCGG